GTCACGTTATCTAATCGCCATCACAATCTATACAATCCCTTATGAAATGAAAATAAGTCATTCCCTGGGTGACATAATTCCTCAGGATGGCTCTTCTCTTCCCCGTCTTAGGGTTCAAGATTAAGCAGTGATAGCAATCAAGCTGCTTTCTTTTTAACACTCGTACTTAAAAAATAAATGTTTGGACATTTTTTTAGATGTATTTTAAAATGAGACGATGCTACATATATATTTTCAAACACAAGCAAATTTTTATTTTGAAAGTCACCGAAGTAGACAAAGTGAGCGTGGAGGAAGTGAGCCAGCTGGGCTGCATGGGTTTAGGAATGAATTTACAGAGGCAAAAATAAGGGCACTTGGAAAGCAAAGAGATCCCTAGAGGGAGAGGCGGCCTTCTTGGGTCTCTGGGTACTCGGTCCTAAGGGCTTGTTGAATATTTTTAAAATTGCTTTTTCAGCCGAGGCCGTTTTGGCTCAGTGGATGGAGCGTCGGCCTGCGGACTGAGGGGTCCCGGGTTCGATTCCGGTCTGGGGCATGTACCTGGGTTGCGGGCACATCCCCAGTAGGAGGTGTGCAGGAGGCGGCTGATGGATGTTTCTCTCTCATCGATGTTTCTAGCTCTCTATCTCTCTCTCTTCCTCTCTGTAATAAAACAATAAAATATATTTTAAAAAAATAAAATAAAATTGCTTTTTCATTCCACGCTCATTCACTTTTTTTGTTTTTGGCAACAGCTTTACTAAGACATTTCACATGCCGTACTAAGTCATGTTTTGCCCGTTCATTTTTGACATGGCCTGAATTTGGACCCCCCGCCCCCAACCAGTAGTGGTAAATCTGTTTACTCAGGCCACTCCGTTTCACTGTGAATGGCAGGTTTCACTATGAACACACAGTTTCACTATGAGCCACAAGAACAACCGTTTTCTTAGGGCACATGCTCACACACTATTAACATTTAGTAGAACGTGTTTGCAAGAGTTCGGGGGTGATTTCTGAGGATACAGAAGAGAAAAACTTACTAGCCCCTAGTGAAATGGAACATGTTACATTGTTCCCTTAAAGTCCAAGTTTAGTCGTTGGCAGTGTATAGAGCATGTTTCCTTGTCATTAGACTTGTGATGCTCAGTGTTTTTAAAAAGCCATATGAGATATAATTACATAATAAAGGTCACTTATGTTTAATTACACTCATTAATTAATGAGGATTGTTGTGTTTTTGACACAAATCTTATTTTAAAAAATATGGCTTTATTGATTTTGGAGAGAGGAAGGGAAAAGGAGAGAAAATTCAATGTGAGAAACATTGATTGGTTGCCTCCTTCATGGCCCCTCCTGGGGATGGAGCCCCAAACCTGGTCATGTGCCCTGGCCAGAGCTGGCACATACACCTTTCAAGGACCTCAAGGTCTTCTCTGTGGAGGAATGCATCCATCAAAGTTTCAGTGTGTTTGGATATTTATGTTAATAAAACTTGAAACAGCAAGTAAAAAATAAATAGCCTCCCCCTTTTCTTTTCCATTTCTTCGTGGTAAGTGCTGTTAGTATTGTAGCTTTATCCTACCAGCTTTTTTGTAGTGCTAGACAAATATTTGTGTGTTCGAATTAAAAGGCATGATAACATCACATCTGTGGCTTATTTATTGGGGTTAGTATATTATGGATATCTTGCCATGCAATGACTACATTGAAATATAGAGTGATGTCTTTACATTATGTCACAATGTGAATGTAGTAACAGGTTGCTCACACTTTCTTGAGTAGAAATGTTATGTGACATTATTATTTGCTTACATACATTTCTATCTTTTTGTTTTTTGCCACTTGGATGGATGAAAAGTGTTTATTGGCATTTGCTTGACTTCTCATATTTAAGTAGGTTTTGAGTCTTTGAATTTCAACTGGAGGGAATATGTCCATTCTGTACGCGCACTATTATTATATTGAATCGTTGTCCTTATTAATTTTTTGGAGCCCCTTTACATGATGAATAAGAACTCTTGCCCTAACTGGTTTACTGTAACACTATCAGTCTGCGGACTGAAGGGTCACGGGTTTGATTCCAGTCAAGGGCACTTACCTCGTTTGCAGGCCCAGTTGCAATAGATTTCCAATACTACGTCGAATAAGAATTGGTAAAGTTGGACATCCCTGTCTTGCTCCTGTTCTCAGTGAAATGGTTTTAGTTTTCGCCCCATTGACTATCGTGTTGGCTGTAGGTTTGTCATATATGTCCTTTATTATTTTGTGGTATGACCCCTCTACTAGTATTCCCACTTTGCTGAGAGTTTTTATCAAATATGAGTGTTGGAATTTGTTGGAATGCTTTTTCTGCATCTATTGATACGATCATGTGAGTTAGTCTTTCAATTTATGTGATGTGTCACGTTTATTGATTTGCGAATAATTGGTTGCTTCCTGTAGACCTCCTGCTGTGGATTAAGCACGTGCCCTGACCGGAATTGAACCGTGACCTCCTGGTTCAGAGGTTGACGTTGAACCACTGAGACACACCAGCCGGGCATGATCTTTTTAATATATTGCTGAATCCGATTTGCTAATATTTGTTGAGGATTTTAGCATCTTGTTCATCATGGATATTGGCCTGTAAATCTCTTTCTTTGTAGTCTTTATCTGGTTTTGGAATTAGGATAATGCTGGCCTCATAAAAATGAGCTTAGAAGTGTTCCTTCCTCTTGGATTTTTTGGAATAGTTTGAGGAGGCTAGGTGTTAATTCTTTGGAATGTTTGGTAAAACTCCCCTGTGAAGTTGTTTGGACCAGGGCTTTGGTTTGCTAGGAGTTTCTGTTTTATTATTATTACTGCTTCAATTTCATCAGTTGTTATGAGTCTATTCTTCCTAATTAAGTTTTGGAAGATTATACTTTTCTAGGAATTTGTTTATTTTGTCTAGTTTGGCCAGCTTGTTGGCATATAGCTTATGATAGTCTTTTCTTACAATCCTTTATATTTCTGTGGTCAGTTGTTATTTCACCGTTTTCATTTCTAGTTTTATTTAGTCTCTATGTCATACAAAAAGCAACCAATAGTGCGTAAATAAGTGGAATAACAAATCAATATTTCTCTCAATCTGTCAAATCAATAAATAAAAAAAAGAAATTAGATACATTTTTTTTTCTACTAAGATTGATTAGTGTTGTTTTATACAGTTGGATAATGCTTACATATTTTATGTTCTGGATATAACTATATTGCAATTCTGAATTCTGGTCAGTCTTTAATAAATGCTCCTGATTTCTCTGTGGAATCAGTTGTATCATCTTTATCCAACAAGAAATCTCCTAATTTTTTATATTCATTTTTTTTCTCTCCTTGGCATTGAATAGAACGTCCAGTGCCATGTTTAAATGTTAGTAGTATAGAAGTTACCTTTCTCTTTGCTCCTCCCATCAGTGTTTTAAATATTTCATACATTGGCTTTTAGTATATTCATAAGGTTGTGCAATCATCATCATGTCCATTTTTTTAAAACCTCAACTTTTTTATTGATTTCAGAGAGGAAGGAAGAGGAAGAGAGAGAGATAGAAACAGCAATGATAAGAGAGACAATCATTGATTGGCTGCCTTCTGCACACCCCACACTGGGGATCAAGCCCGCAACCCCGGGCATGTCCCCTGACAACGAATTGAACCGTGATCTGCTGGTGCATAGGTTAATGCTCAACCACTGAGACATGTCGGCCAGTCCGAATATGATTTCTTAATGGGTATAAGGTTTCTCTTCTGATGATGAAAATATTCTAGAATTAGATAAGAGTCAGTTTTTGACAGCATTGTGAATGTACTAAAAACCACAGTAATATACAATTTTAAATGGTAACATTGAATTTTATTTTATTAACATTTGATCTCAGTATAAATTTTTAAAAGGAATTGTATCACTACCCACTCACCAGAATGACCAAATTAAAAGACAGAAAATACTAATTGTTAATGAGAATGTAGAAGTACTGGAACTCGCATAATCATTGGCTGAAAGTGTATTGATAACCACTTTAGAAAAAGTTTTGCCCTATGTACTAAAGCTGAAGATATACAGACATATTCACACACTCTAGCACCCAGCATTTTTACTCCACACAATGCATGTAATAAAACCATAGGAGGCCGAAACCGGTTTGGCTCAGTGGATAGAGCGTCGGCCTGCGGACTGAAGGGTCCCAGGTTCGATTCCGGTCGGGGGCATGTGCCTGTGTTGCGGGCACATCTCCAGTGGGAGATGTGCAGGAGGCGGCTGATCGATGTTTCTCTCTCATCGATGTTTCTAACTTTCTATCTCTCTCCCTTCCTCTCTGTAAAAAAATCAATAAAATGTATTTAAAAAAAAAAAAAAACCATAGGAGTATACTTGTCATAGTAAAAAACTAGAAATAACTTAAATAGCCATCTACAGTTGAAAGATCAATATAATGAGTTACTATACAAAACCATGAATTACAAGTGTTCTTAACAAGTTGTGAAGTTCCAATGGCTCATAGTGAGATATTTAAATGGATACATCTCACAAATATAATTTTGAGTGAAAGGCAGTCAGTTATGTAGTTTGATAATAAGCAAAAGAAATCTATGATGTCAAAGCAATGGTTTGCCTTTGGCACTTGAATGATGATTCGAAGGAAATTACTTGATTGGATTCTTGGCATATAGGTGTTCTTTCAGGAAAATTCAACATTAAATACTTAGGATTTATACATTTTCTACTTCAGTGCACTTTGCATTAAAATAACAGAAGTTGCCCCATGAAATGGTACCAATTTATAATTATTTAACAGGCAAGAGAGTATAACAGTTTCTACTTTTTTCCCCCTTTCTCTCTACACACCTCTTACTGGTATTTTATGACTTCTCTGAACATGTAAAAGTGAAAATAATATTCTCTGGGGCTTCACATCTATTTTCTCTTTAATTGTTAAGTCCCAATGGCTCTTATTCAGATATTTAAATGGATAATATGAAAATTTGCTGTGTTTGTTTTACAGGCAGATTTTAAAAACAAAGCAGTAAATGGCCCCAAGTCAGTATCCATGGACTACAGTGGATGTGGTCATGGGGAAGAAAAAAGATTGGAACTGAACCCACATCCCCCTGAAAATGTAACTGAAAATGAAGAAAGTATGACAGGTATTGAAGTGGAGAAGTGGACACAGAGCAAGAAATCACATTTAACAGATCAAGTCAAAGGAGAGGTTAAGGCAATCGTGACAGAAGGTGAAAAACTGGGAAGCTCTGAAGATGACACGAAAAAAGTCCTACCTGACCCTCAAAATTTGTTTGCACAAATGGTAAAAAATGGCATTAAAAATGTACACTACTTACCAACGGAAACAGATGTGTCTTTTAAAAAATTCAACATTGAAGAATTTGGCAAGGTGTCTGAAAACAATTCCTGTAAACCCCTGATAGACACTGCAAACCAGGACAATGCCATGAGCTCCATTGCTGCTAATGCAAGCAGCGATCATCTTACGGGGAGAAGCGATGTTTTAGTCTTCCAGAAGCCGGGCTCTGAGTCGTTTCCTGATCCTGCAGACTTCAGCTGCATGAGTCCTACGAGTACACGTACTGAACGTGATCAACCAAAATCTCTAGAAAATATACCAACTTCAGAACCAATACACGGATCTCCAGTTCAACAAAATCTTCTATCCCTAGTGACAGATAGGACATTAACGCAGGAGCAAGTGGATGTTATAGAAGCTTTGGCTCAGCTTTCAAAACCCCCTGCAGAAATTTCCTCACCATCAACGTCTGAGAAGGATGAAGAAAACGAGCAGATGTCAGCTAGTTTGTTTAATAACTGTAGAGCTTCCATCTATTCTGTAACAAAAGGCCTCAAAGAACCGTGTTTGCAGGGGGAGCCTCAAAGCCTTCACCATTGCCCTTCTGTAGAAAAGCAAAGTTCATGCCGCACGGTGGTGTTCAATGGCCAGAGTCACATTTCCATGTCACCTAACAGTGCAGCTACTGACCAAGTATCCCCGAAGCCACAGGAATATTCAAAAGCAAAAAATTGCACATCTCTTTTTACACCAAATTCTAGTTCATCTGAAATTGACACCAATAAAAATGCTGTTCATAATAGCAGTATTCTTGACAGTTGTTCAGAAAATTTGCATGCGTTGCCATCAACAAGTGGTGAATTGGGGTCCTGCAACCAGTTACTGGACAGCAGCAAAAAGTTAGACTCACAGGATGATCCATCATCATGTCAAGATACAGTTCATACTCAAATAGAGGAAGATGTTGCTACCCAGTTAACACAACTTGCATCAGTCATTGAATTCAGTTATACAAAACCAGAGGAAACAAATGTTGAAAGTACATCAACAAACCTTGTGTATAATGTGCAAAAACACAGTCAGGAGAAGAACACAATAAAACCGAAACCACGTTCCAGTTTAAAAAGTAACCATGGCTCATCAACAAAGCAAAAGAACAAAACCCGGAAAAAGACAAAATCTGCTCCATCCAGAGAACGGCGGAAAAAGAAGCCCGCAGTCACAAGTTGTCAAGAAAATGATCAGAAAAAGCAGGAAAAGCTGTCATATGAATATAATAAGTTACATGACATTTGGATAGCGTCTAAATTTCAAAGATTTGGTCAAATTGGTCCACGTGATTTTCCTATTCGGTTGGGAAAAATTCCTCCTGTAACCCACGTACGGACAACACTTACTCAAGCAAGTTTAGCATTAAAACACAAGAAATTATTTCCTCCACTGGCTCAGATAAAATTTGAGCGAAATTCTGGATTAGCACAGGAAGAAATGATGAATGTTGATCCGCTGCATTCTCACTCCATATTCCATTTAAAAACAGAATCCAATGGGCAGGCGTTTACAGAAGAAGTTTCTAATTCTCAGGTACAGCCGATCGTGCATGTCAGTCAGGAAGCTCATCCTGCACTGCAGTCCTCCTCTCCCACCAATCAGTGTGCTAATGTGATGGCTGACCATGACCAAACACAGCTCCAGCAGGATGTGGAAGACCAACTCATGCATCAGACGCTGCCAGCATTACCTAGTGTCTCTCATGAGACCCTTCCATCGGACCCAGGACAAGGGCTCAGGAATGTAAATGTAGAACGTTCAGGTGGAATCACAGTGGTTTCTACCACAAATGAAGACGTGTTTTTATCTAGTGTTGGAGCATCCGAAGTTTCCCCAATAGAAAACGCACATAATTTTCATAATTATGCCATGAACTTTTTAACGAATTCTACAAGAAACCTGGTGTCCACAACGAAAGATTCTGAATTGCCAAGCTGCAACTGCCTTGGTAAGTGCATGTGTATGGTGTGTGTGTTTCTCCTTTTACCTGCATTAATTGCCTCCAGTCATGACCAAATCAAGTTTTGTTTGTTGTATTTTATATGTGGCATTTTGGCCCTATTCACATTCTAGCGAAGGTGGGCTACATAAGTCTATACTACACATTTTTCTGTCAGACCTTTGGTGATGCTGCTCAGGTGAATTGGAAATTCAACTCATAATCAGGAAACTTTCTTAAGTGGACAATTAGCTGATTTCATTCCAGGCTAAATGTCTCAAATTGTTTATTCTGAATATTATAAGAATGAATATTTTTCATACTTCATTACAGTTTGTTCCTATATTTAAAAAAATGCCTGGCCGGCATGGCTCAGTGGTTGAGCACAAAAGGATTTCAAAGCTATAAGCTTTTGCTTAAAATATATATATTTTTTATTGTGAGATATAATATGCATACAGAGGATATCAAATATATGTACAAACTAACAAATGACCATAAAAATTTTCTGTAATTGCTAACTCCAGTTAAGAACTTTTTTTAGTGCCTAGTGCTTTTATGCTCTGCTATATAATTCATAATACTGACTAGTTGAAGAATTTGCAAACCTTTTGGAGTTTCAAAATATTGAATTGTTCACCCTGGCCATTGTGGCTCAGTTGGTTTGATGTCCTCTGGTGCGCCCAAAGGTTGCTGGTTTGAATACCAATGAAGGTACTTGCCCAGGTTATGGCCTTGATCACCAATAGGGGGTGTGTAGGAGACAGTCAATCAATGTCTTGCTATCACACAGATGTTTCTCTTTCTCTCTAAAAATCAATTTTAAAATCTTTAAAGAATATTACAGTAGCCCTAACCGGTTTGGCTCAGTGATGGAGCATTGGCCTGCGGACTCAAGGGTCCCAGGTTCGATTCTGGTCAAGGGCATGTACCTTGGTTGCGGGCACATCCCTAGTGGGGGGGGCGGTGCAGGAGACAGCTGGTCAATGTTCCTCTCTCGTCGATGTTTCTAACTCTCTATCCCTCTCCCTTCCTCTCTGTAAAAAATGAATAAAATATATTTTTAAAAAAATATTACAGTACTGAAGGACTAAGCTAGAATTCAGAGACAGGCAATCCAAACTCCAGTCTCTGTTTGTAATATTCACCATCTGTTGCTTAAAAATCTGAAATCAAATAGTAGAAGTGATTTTCTAAATATCATGACAAATGGGAAAAAGACCTGTAAAATTTATATACTTGAAATAGTCTACTGATACCATTTGCATTAGCTTCAATAGGATGATTGTCTAGTTTCAAGACTCTTTCCTTACACATAGTAACTAGTCACAGTGTAGGAGTTCCGACAGCGAGGCATCAAAGTTTATTGAGTATCTGCAATGATCACGGAACTGTGTTTTCCTATAATAATTCCATGTGAGGTTATTGTGCTCATTCTATGGAAATAGGAACTTAGAAGAAGAGAAACAAAAATCAGACTCAATCAGAAATCATCCCAAGTGGGACCATCACATTTAAGGGTAAAGGATTTCCCTGGAGGTATTTATTAGGTTCTAGCAAAATAAGGGCAATAACCGCTGTCGAGGTCAGGGTTCCTCAAACTTATCACTATTGGCCTTTTAGAGGGAACAATTCTTTATTGTAGGGAGACATGCATTATTGCAGTTTAGTGGCATTGCTGGCCTACACATACACACCCCTGCCCAGTTGTCACAGCCAAAAACATTGTCAAATGTTCCACCAAGGAAAATTCACCCTTCATTAAGAACCGGTATTCTAGATAACTAGGAATAAATTGAAATCTATTCAATAGATCTTGCTGCAGAAGCCACAGAACCTAATCACAAATTGTATTTGGTGCCCAATCAAAATAGTTGAATGATGACATTGTGGTGTAGGTGGGTACACGCTGGCCAATAATATTTAATTCCACAGTGACTCTAATTAGGCATGATTCAAGAGACCAAGTTAGAAACACTGTTTTCTAATAAATCTGTAATTCACAAAGATTCAAATGGTACAGAATTGTGATGCAAACAGCTTCTAAAAATAAAACCTGTTACTTTTTCTTACATGAATTAACATTATGCTGATTTTAAATTTGTTTCAAACTTTGAAAAATTTAAGACTTTTAAAACACTGTATTTTTGCAATTTGCTTCTTTACCTTAAGAATTTAGTACACCTGAAACTAATACAAAATAATAGAATGTATGCTGTAATTGAAAAAAATAAAAATGTTCTTTTATAACTTTTTAGATTTTTTCAGTGATTGTAAATATTATCATATTGTTTTTAATAGCTTTATTGTTTTCCAGCATATAAACATCTCCTAACTTATTTCACCTATCACTTACTTACAGATGTTAAGGTTTTCTCTCTCTCGATATTACAAATAATTGTAACTAGGAACATTCTTGTGTACATTTGCATTATAAATACATAATTGTGTAATTGTAGACTAGAACAGATCCTTAGTGGTGAAATTGTTGGGCTCAATTAATAGGATTCTGAAACTATGCTTTTAAATATATTGTTCTTGGATAAATTTGAATTTTGTACCTCAATTATTAATAGATTTCTTAAAAGCAAGAAATTAAGAGAATAAATATGACCCACTACTTAAAAAAATATATTTCCCCTCCTTACCCCCTCTGAATCTTAGAGGAAGAATGAATTAGGAACATAAAGTTAAATTTAGGGCTCATTGCCTTACACTTTAATGGCTAAAGCTTACCAAAACCTTGTCAAGATTCATTGTTCTGAATTGGAAAAAAAAAACACACCCCAAAATTATAAAAAGAGCACTTCCTTGCCCCTATGCAGTTCTGTAAAACTTTGGGTCTAATAATCTTATTCCTTCCACAGATCGAGTTATACAAAAAGAAAAAGGCCCATATTATACGCACCTTGGGGCAGGACCAAATGTTGCCGCTGTCAGGGAAATCATGGAGACTAGGTGAGGAAATACGCTTCCCTGTTAAAATCTTATTGTGGACCAGACTCGATGCAGAGAAATTACCCCTGGGAACAAACATGAGATGAGTGGAACACATTCAGGAGTATGAGATGGATGTTTCTTAGGGTCCAGGAAGAAAATCGCTTGCTGTTGTCCCTGCTCAGTCACTCATCACAGGAGGCACTGGGCACCCAACAACACACTTTAAAGCAAGGCTGTCTTTGTTAAATTCATAAATATTCATTTTTTATATTATTGTATCATAATAGTAGAAATAGTTCAAATTACCTCTATCAACACCACTCACATTCTTTTTGTCTGTCTGGGAGCCAGGCCATTTTTAAAGAGTGATCTTAAAGGATAAGTAAACAACTGGATATAGCAAAATATCTGCCACACAGAATTAAGTTTTTAACAATAGTAAATAATGACAAGTGTTTGATTTTTGTACTTCTGTAAAGCCATACCTTATGCACATTAAGATGTTATAAGTATATATCGCAATTATTTTCTTTTCACTGTGTTTTATACTCAGGTATGGGCAGAAAGGAAGTGCAGTAAGAATAGAAAAAGTAATATATACCGGAAAAGAAGCGAAAAGCTCTCACGGATGTCCTGTCGCTAAGTGGGTAAGTATTTTGTATTTGTACATTTTTCAAAATGGGATTTTCCCACGTATAAAAATTTGTTTTCATTGATTTTAGAGTGAGAAGGGAGAGGAATAATAGGGAGATAGAAACATTGATGAGAGACAAACTACAATTGGTAACCTCCTGCCATAGAGTTTACATATTTCTGGTTTTCCAATTTATTTCTCTTGTGTATCTGAGATGTACAATCATGTAATTTATCCTCCTTTCCAAATTTTATACTTTTAACTTCTTTCATTTAATATACTTAGTCTACCAGACTAACTCCAATTTTATATTCCTTATTTTATTCTCATTAGTGAGAACTTTCCAGGGGATTCTCATGATGAATGATCATTCAGGAAAGGCTTCTCTGGAAGGGGAACATCTAAACTGAGATCTGAGTGACAGAAAGGAGACCTGAATATGCAAAGAATACCCCCAAGAATGTAGGAAAGAGCATGTATAAGCAAAGAACATGTGTACAGGTCAAGGAAGAGAGTACATTCCTCATTAATCTTAGAGGGCGAGTGAAGTAGAGGAGGTCACGAACAGAAGCTGGTGAGGGTATGAAGGTAGATAGAAACCAGAGTATGAATGGTTTCACAGGTCATGGTGAGGAATTAGAGTTTTAGTTTACACACAACCGGAAGCCTGTGATGTAATTTAACTAGGGGGTGTTATCGGACTGATGTATGCTTTTAAAAAGGGCATTCTGAGAAGATAATTGATAAAGTCTGTATTCGTTGCCTGTTGCTACTTAGTGGCTGTGTGCTAGTGGCCTCATTTCCTTAAAAGACATCTTAAAGTGCTTTCTCCCGTCAGAGCATCTTGGTTTCCCCCACAGTGAGTCAATCAAAGGATAACACAGAGGAAGCCACACTGTCTCTTGTGACATTAGCCTTGGAAGTTGTTACACAATAAGCCCTATTCAGTGCAGGAGGAACTATGCAAGGGCATAAATACCAAGTGGTGGTGGTCATTGGGGACATCTTGGAGACTTGACTAATATGTTATCTTCACTAAACATCAACATGTAAGAATACTAAATTGGCTCAGCCGGTGCTGCCGAGTGGTTGAGCATCATGAGATGATGAGCCCATGAGATGATGAACCAGGAGGTCATGGTTCAGTTCATGGTCAGACGGGCTTGATCCCTGGCAGGAGGCAGCTGATCAATCAATGCCTAAGTTATGGGCTCATTCCCCAGTGTAGGAGGCAACCAATGTTTCTATCACTCCCTCTTCCTTCCTTTCTGAAATCAATAAAAATATGTATTTTTTAAAAAGAATTCTACATTGGCTTAGGAAAATATATCTGTCCTAGCCCTATCTGATATATCCCATACCTACTACATCTATCCTCTTTAGCCCTGTCTTCTCTAAAGGGGAAATCCTTGATTTTGTGAATCTGATTTCAGAGAGGAAGGAAGAAGGAGAGAGAGGTAGAAACATGAATAATGAGAGAGAATCATTGATTGACTGCCTCCTGCATGCTCCCCACTGGGGATCAAGCTTGGCAGCCCGGGCATGTGCCCATGACTGGAATCGAACCGGGAACCCTTTAGTCCACAGGTTGATGCTCTATACATTGAGCCAAAGCAGCTAGGGCAGTGTTGGGATTTTAAATGATCCTTCCTGCTTTTGAAAATTTATGTAAGGCAATAAGAATAGTTACATTGATAGAATTTTGGTTAGTAATTTTTTTTTAAATTAAAACAAGTATGAAGTCTGCAGCCTAAAGATTTTGATAACAACTTTCTGTTAAAGTCCTCTTTTGATATATATAATTCTTCTTCAAGGGCTCTTAGGTACAAAGAAGAGTATTTAGCATTTTCCATGCAGGAGCTGCAGCAAAATTAATTTCTTATTTTCCCTTTGCATTATTCAGATTACATGGAATATTTTGATATATAGTAATATATATCTGGCCCTTTTCACAAAGAGAATCCAAGGATAAGGAATAAAATAAAGAACTTATTGAAAAATTTGATATCTACTAATGACAATTCAAAAGTTTAATTTTGATAACAAAACTAAGCATTAATTCCACATATCTGATAATTAATGAAGTAGGTTTCAAATGAAGATGGATGTTAGAAAAATCATAATGTTAATCAAACTTCTTGAAAACTTTCCAACTTATGTTATTTAAAATACTTATTTTGCTAATTTACCCAATAAATGTTCTCTTATAAAAAAATAAATAAATATGAGAGGAAGAGAAAGGGAGAACCTGGAGCAATGCCACGCACATAGTCAACACTAAGTTTTTGTTTAGTGAATGAATGTGGAACTTAAGCATATTTTAGAATATTGAATTTTTAAAAAATTGTTATCTTGAAATAGTATTGCTGTGGTATTCATTATTAGGTTTTTTTTTGAGGCACGGAAAAGTTTTGAGTATTTGAACTAATAGTCTGCTATAGTTGTTTACCCCACACTTTTGAACTACTGATAGAAATTAAATGAAAAATTGAGTGAAAGGATTAGGTTTCTGAATAATTAAGTCCTACATATGAATGCTCTATACAGGATTTTTTTAAAAAGGGTTTTTATAAATAAAATGGAGAAAAATCATTTAAAGTAAGGAATTGAGTAAATGTTCAACTAATGGATTTCATTGCCCCAAATATAGTTTCACCTTGCATCGTATGCATTTGTCATGTATTTACTATTAAACTAACTTAAACATTAATGTGATTTTATGTAAAATCGTTCATGTCTCTGTGCAGACTTATATTTGTAATAATTGGTTGGATTCATATACATATATATATATTTAAATTGCACATGCTTTTATTTATTTATTTTTTTAGATATATTTTTATTGATTTCAGAGAGGAAGAGAAAGGGAGAGATAGGAACATTGATCCTGAGAGAGAATCATTGACTCACTGCCTCAATCTGGGGATTGAGTCCACAACCTGGGCATGTGCCCTAACTGGGAATCCAACTCTGACCTCCTGGTTCATAGGTGGATGCTCAATCACTGAGCCACGTGGGCCGGGCAAACTTCTTTTTTTCTTGATGCATCTCTCTGAGCAACAGGTGGCTCAAGGATTCCTTTCTCGTGAAGTAACACCACTTGGCCTAGAAAAGCCAAGTGGGGGTTGAAAACTTTACAAGTCTATCCGCAAATTCTGACCGGGCAGCAAAACTTTCTGAGCCTCTCTCACATTATCCTTAATCCTGTTTTCTTCCTTGAAATGTTTCTTTTCCAGGTGGTCATTAACATTCACCCAAAATGGTTAGCCTTTGGCAGACGTTTCACACTCTTCTTCTCTACTGTCACTTTGCATTTGTTCAGGGACTAGTTATTTCTTCACTTCGATTTGGGTGATACAGTCTTTTGGATATACTATGCTCTATTATCTCCTTACTCTGGTGATGGAGAACCTATGACCTGTGTGTCAGAGGTGACACGCGAACTCATTTTTTTGGTTGATTTTTCTTTGTTAAATGGCATTTAAATATATAAAATAAATATCAAAAATGTAAGTCTTGGTTTTACTATGGTTGCAAATATCAAAAAATTTCTATGTGTGACACGGCACCAGAGTTAAGTTAGGGTTTTTCAAAATGCTGACACGCCAAGCTCAAAAGGTTCGCCATCACTGCTTACACTATTCTCCCCTCCCCAGTTGAGCTTTGGAGTGATGGCAGGACCAGGGAGGAGAATTCAAACCAGCTGTCCAGATAGCACCTATGGCAGAGCTATTCACACTAATATTTTCCCCCCTAGATTTGTACAATAACATAAACTTTCCCTTTTTGTTTCCTTTGTTCTAAAGCTGTGCCTAATCCCCGACTTGATTGTTTTTGGTCTGTACCATAGTGCTGCTGATATCTGTGCCCAAATTTGGCACCTCTTTATATATTAACATGTCCATGTAATAAAGGTTCCTGGGGTTCTGGTTTACTTGTGAGAAAACCATTTGATGCTTCAGCGGTGAAAATTAGGGAAAAGCTAGTAAGCTGATGTTGTCAGTGATGTTAAACTGACTTTTTTCACTTTGTTTTTGTTATAAAATACTTTTCTTTACTTAAACCTATTGTCTGGTAACATACTAGTAGAACTACTTTTATGTTAGCTTAGTGGCATAGAGTTCATTTTTAACTTTTTATTCAACTGTCTATATATATGAAAGCCTAAGCGACCGTTACAACTGAACAGCCAGAATGACCATTTGACCAGTCGCTATGATGCGCACTGACCACCAGAGAGCAGATGCTCAACACAGGAGCTGCTGCCTGGTGGTCAGTGCACTCCCACAGCCAACCTCTGTGGTCCCTCTTCCCTGCTAGCCAGCCCCCTTGATAGGCCCACGATCGCTGGCCAGTCCAATGGGACCCATCGTGCACAAATTCATGCACCAGGCCTCTAGTAATGTACATAAAGAAAACTACACAAGACATAAATGTTCAGTTGTACAAAGAGAGCACACCAATGTAATCTCCACCCAGATCAAGAAATAAATCATAACCCCCAAAGGATGAAGTTCATTTTATTCTAATATATATAGATAGCTTTAAATTACCTTAATGAGTGGGGTGTTTTTGTTTTGTTGATCACCATCATTTTGTGTTGAAAATTTAAGTCTGCTTTGTCTTTGACATGATTATTGATAAACTCAACAGTGATCTCCGGCAATCCCACACTTGATTTCAGAGTTGCTCCTAGCTATTATTTTTTATAAATACATTTTTATTGATTTCATATATAGAAAGAGACAGAAAGTTCAATGATGAGAGGGAATCATTCATCGGGTGTTCCCTGCTCACCCCACACTGGTGATCAAGCCCATGACCCTGGTATGTGCCCCTACCAAGAATTGAACCAGAAGCTCCTGGTTCATAGGTCGTCGCTCAACCACTGAGCTAAACTGGCAAGAAGGGCACATCTTCCTAATCTTGACAGTGCTTTGGATATGGGCACTAATTGGTTTTTCAACATTTACATACTTATTAATTCACATTAATTTACTTAGGATATTACCTGAAACTAAATATGCATTGACTATTCATTGTTCCATAGATGAACTTTAACTGAGAAGATATTTTTTCCAATACAGGAAATGCCCCTATTCTTCATCCTCAGGTTATGCAAAGACTTATTCTTTGCTCTTCTTGTATCATTTCTGACAGAGTCCTGTCCTTCACATCATAGGAGTTGGTACTTTCCATCCAGATACCTGCCTGTAGCTTGTCTCTTGCACTGTGTATGTCCCCACTGACCCAGTCACCCTGTCCTGGAGCTTGTCTTCCAATACCAAGGACCATGAACACCAAAGTCCCAAAACTTTGGCCAGCACCAAAACAATATTTTTTAACTTATTATTTTATAGTAATTTCAGTCTTACTGAAAAGTTGCTTGAATGGTACAGAGATTTTCTGATATTCTTTATTGATATTTACTTTGCTTTATCTTTCTCTTTTTTTCTTTTTTTTTAATTTAATTTTTATTGATTTCAGAGAGGATGGGAGAGGGAGAGAGAGAGATAGAAACATCAATGATGAGAGAGAATCATCGATCGGCTGCCTCCCGCACATCCCCTACTGGGGATCAAGCCCACAACCCAGGCATGTGCCCTTGGTTGGAATCAAACCCGGGACCCTTCAGTCCGCAGGCCAACGCTCTATCCACTGAGCCAAACCAGCCAGGGCTCTTTCTCTTTTCTTCCTTCTCTCTCCTTTGCTCTTCCTCCTATTTTTCCTGAATACCCTAATAGCAATTTGTAAACATGATGCGTTTTACCATAAATACATTGGTGTGTTTTCAAAACAAAGACATTTCTTAACCACAATAAATTGTCTTTCATAGCTATTATTATTAAAATCTTACATAAAATTAAAACAATTATTAGTCCTAATACAAGATTAATATGTAATCTTTAGGTTTTATATCCAATAACATCCTTTATGGGAAAAGAAAACATTTTTTGTCCTGATTCAGAATCCTGTCCAGGATCACTTGTTTACATTTATTTGTTGTCTGTCACATTAAAAAAATATACATTTTATTAATTTCATTGAGGAAGGGCGGACGAGAGAGAGAGAAACATCAATGATGAGAGAGAATCATTAATTGGCTGCTTCCTACGTGCCCTCCACTGGGGATCAAGCCTCAAACTCATGCCAACACTGATGTGTTCATTGGACCTCAGGACCTAATTCCTTCCCTATAGAAAGATTATTACTGATGAATTTTACAAGTTCTCTTCTGCATAGAATAAAAAACTTTTATACAGATTTATTGCTTTTCCAAATTAGTGCTCAAACTAGGCTCTTCTGAAACGTTTTTAATTATGAGCAACTTTTCAAACTTGAGAGCATTGGGTCTTCATTTATCTCTCCACATCTGATCGCAGTAATATATGCCCCTCTGATATTTGCTTTCGCTGTTTATATCTTTAGAAATGAATAGGAAGGAGATAAGATTAGACGTCACAATAATTTTGACCCAGAACTCTCTTATTCAAATAACTCGAGGCTGTGTGCACGAGATTCCTACACTGGGTGGGGGTTGGGGAGGTTGTTCCCAGCAGTCCAGGACTCCTCAGGGTATGTCCAACTGACAGCTTAGGACATCCATTGGGGAACAGCCCTAAGCAGGTAGTCGGACATCCTTAGCGCTGCTGCTGCTGCAGAGGGGGGGTTTCCCACCACTTGCAGCTGTGCTCACCAGTCATGAGCCCTGCTTCCGGGCTTCTGGCTGAGCTGTGCTCCCCCTGTGGTAGCCCACTGACCATCAGGGGCAACTCCTGTATTGAGCATCTGCCCCCTGGTGGTCTGTGTGTGTCATGGTGACCAGTCGTTTTGCTGTTCGGTGGATTTGCACATTACCCTTTTATTATATAAGATTTTATTTTTTAAATATATTTTGTTGATTTTTTTACAGAGAGGAAGGAAGAGGGGGGTAGAGTCAGAAACATAAATGAGAGAGAAACACTGATCAGCTGTCTTCAAGGTGCATGCCCTTGACCAGAATCAGACCTGGGACCCTTCAGTCCGCAGGCCGGCGCTCTATCCACTGAACCAAACCAGTTAGGGCTATTATGTAAGATTTTAAAGATCAAGTGAAAAATCCCAGATGCAGGTTTTAAACTAGGTCAAAATGTGGAAATATTAAGAGTGATAACAATACAATGGATCTTTAAATAGATTGTAATCAGAAAGTGAAGTTATTACTTTTACATGTATTCACATTGTTTTGAAGATCTCCAGAGCTTTTTTTCTTGTAAACATGGAACTCTGTACCTATTGAATAACTCCTCATTTCCCATGAACCCAGCTCCTGATAATTACCATTACAATTTTCATTTCTATTTCATTGACTACTTTAGATAAATCATATAAGTGGAATCATATAGTATTTGTCTTTTTGCAACTGACCTATTTCTCTGATTCTTTAGGAAACTTCATTTCCTAAAGCTTCATCCATGTTTTAGCATTTGAAAGGATTTCCTTTTTAAGTCTGAATAATATCCCATTTTGTGTATTTACACATTTTGTTTTTGTTTATCCATTCATTTATTATTAATGGACATTTGGGCTTCTTCCACTGTGAATATGGATATGGGAATCATCTGTTCAAGCAGAATTAATCATCTGCTATATTAATTCTTTTGTATATATACCCAGCACTCTATTTGTGGGTTGTTCTTTTAGCAACTTCCACAATGTCTATAATGGTTTGCTCCATTTTATAAACCCACCAACATATGTAGTGCTTTTAAAACATTTTTCCTTTGCTAATAATCTTAACTATATTTTCTTAAGCTCATCATCTGTTTTGGATATTCTATTCTGTTCTGCCTATTTAATGGTGTTTATATTACTCATTTGCAGAAGTTCTTTATTTTGGATAAGAATATTTTATCAATTATATATATAACATAAATATTTCTCTCACTGTATTGCTTGCTTGCCTTATCTTTTGCCTGTTAATGTTCTCACTGAAGATATGTTGTTAATTTAAAAATAATCTAGCTTAACTTTTTCCTTTATAACAATTAAATTTGGTGTTTTATTTTTAATGTTTTACCTGCTCCCAGGTCATGAAGATATGTTCTTTTAAAAACTTCTTGCTTTGTCTTTCATTTTTTAGATCTACAATATAACTCAAGTTACATATGTGAAGTAAGGGTCAAGATTCATTTTCTTCTATATGGATATCTACACAGTACTGTTCATTGAAAAGACTTTTTGCATTGTCACATTTGTCCTAAGTCAGGTGATCATTTTTATACTGATCTCCTGAACTCACTATTCTATTCCATTAATCTCTTTACCTGCCATTGTACTAATTTGAAACTAACTCAATTACCATAGGGTTGCAATAACTGATCTTGATTCCTCTGCCTTTTCTTGGCTCTCATTGTTTCTTTGCATTTTTATAGAAACAAGTTTGTCAATTTCCACCAAAACCAAAACCAGCTGATAGGATTTTGATTGGGATTGCATCAAATCAAAAAATCAATTTGGGAAAATTGACATTGATAGTGACTAATCCATCAACATGGTATTTCTATTTATTTACATCATCTTTAAGGTATTTACAGTTGTCAGAGCTCTTTTGCTCAGTTTTGACTGCTCTGAAAAAACACGAGCCTGGATAGATTCTACAGAACAGAAATTTATTTATCCTAGTAATGGGCTTTGGAAGTCTGAGATTAGGGAGCCTGCATGGTCGGTTGAGGACTCTCTTCTCTTTGTGTCTTCACATGATTAAAGGAGCTCAGAAGCTCCATGGGGTCTCTCTTTATACACTAATCCCATTCATGCAGGCTTTCTGTCTATGACCTAATCGCCTTCCAAAGGCCCCTCCTCCTAGTACAATCACATTGGTATTTAGGGTTTAATCTGTGAATTTTGGATAGACCCGACTATCCATGTCATAGTAAGACTTAAGCGATGTATTGAACCCACATCTGAATTTTGAGACTCATGCTTTATTTTCTGTTGCTCATTGAAGGAAATTTGTAAAAAAAAAAAAAAATCTGATAAAGCCAAATGCCATGAATAAATAACATTTTAGCATTTTCCATACAAAGAATGGATCAATAGAACTTTGTCGTAGTCTTGACAACTTGAAAGTTATCTGGTAGCATTTTGTTTGACACCGTATATATAATTTTGTACTTTTTGAAACAAATGTATTCTTATTTGGCTATACAGGACATATAAACATAAAAAACATTTTAATATAAACAATAGGGTTTAGGGGGAAGGTTCTAAAGCCAACTCTCCTCAAGGGATGCTTTGGTAGCAATGATTGTTAACCATCTGGAGACAGAAAAATGTGATTGTGTAAATAACATCTTAATACCCTATGGGTATAATATAATGTAAGTTAAAAGGATAAATACTCAAAATGATTGTTGTGTTTTACATTCACCGTGCCAGCTGGACACTCTAATCTTAGGATAAAATAGGTGTGATAAACCCTGATGACAATGTGGGGGAAAATCACAGGAACATAGCTTTCTGTGTTCATTATTCTACTTAGTCAACCATCCATCCGCTCAAGGAAAAGATCCGTAACTTTCTTCAGATGCTAAATTTGATGACTCGCGTTTCTTGTTAATGTTAGCAAACCCTGTTTATCTCTATCTAGCTAGATTTGTCCTGTTGTGACATCTGTGTAAGAGAAGTTAGTTAGGCTCTTCCCC